CAGCAAGCGCTGATTTTTGCCCGTCTGCTCAGATTCCACACTGACCACCGGGAAGCCCTTGTGTTGCGTCCACGAGGACATCACGTCACCCACGTTCTTAGAGCTGGCTTCCTGCAGAGCAGCCCACAAATCCTCGGTACAGGTGTTTCCATACTGATGGCGATTAAGGTACAGATTCATCCCCTTTCTGAAGTCATCCTCTCCAATGTAGTCATGCAGCATGCGAATCACCGAGGCACCCTTGTTGTAGCTAATCTCGTCAAAGATCTCGTCGATTTCGGACGGGTGACCCACGGGCACCTCGATGGGATGCGAATTTTTCAGAGAGTCCAGCTCCAAAGCTCGTGTGTACATGTCCGTGACGAACTGCGTCCAGATATCGTACTCGGGGAACAGGTGGTGCACGCACAGGAACTCCACAAACGAGGCGTATCCCTCGTTCAACCAAAGGTGGGTCCACCATTCCATGGTCACGAGGTTGCCTATAGGTTATGGTTTTGATTAGAAAAATCGATTTCAATGAAATTAGTTGGAATAAAGGTAAAGGTAAAAAAAATATTGAGTAGACCTAACCCCTTTTCTTTTACATGATTCTGTCAGGGGAACACCCTTAAAGATTATTCTATAGAACACCCAGAATTCATTCATTTTGAACATCAAAGTCAAGACATTGACACTAAAACCCAAAAAACGAATCAATTCCCAAGTAATCTGCATACCAAATTGAGTTTCAGGTGCTTCTGCGTCAGACAAGCTGAACAGAATACATCAGTGAATCAGAAATAATTTAAAAGATTTTTTATAGATCTAAGATTTCTTTAAAATTTTTAGCATAGTATCGTTGGTTCCTCAATTTCTTACCGGATATTGGTAGCTTTTTGGTAAATAGTTTTACTCACCGAACCATTGATGGGCAATCTCGTGGCCTACTGTTAAAGCAATCGATTGCTTGCGCATAAGGGAGGTGTTCTTGGGATCCACCAGCACAAAGGTCTCGCGGTAAGTGACCAAGCCCCAGTTCTCCATGGCGCCGGCGGAGAAGTCCGAAATGGCGATTAGATCCATCTTTGGCAGCGGATAGGCAATGTTGAAGTAGTCCTTGTAGTACGGGAGCACCTTAGTGGCCACCTCTAGGGCGAAAGTACCCTGCTCGCGTTTGCCAACGGGTGTGAAAACCCTGACGAGGACGCCATCATCGGACTTCCCCTCCACATAATCGTATTCGCCCACGACGACGGCCACCAGGTAAGTGGACATGATGGGCGTGCGATCGAAGCGCACTCGTCGAAGGCCGTCCGGCAAAGAATCCTCCTTGATGACCGGCATATTGGATAGTGCCACCCTATCCTTTGGCACCACTAGTGTAATGTCGAAGGTGGCCTTTATGGCCGGTTCGTCCCAGCAGGGGAAGCAACGCCGGGCATCGGTGGCCTCAAACTGGGTGACTCCCGCATAGCGCTCTTCGCCATTGGGACCGAAGTATTTGCTCCTGTAGAAACCCTTCATTTTGTCGTTCAGCTCCCCGGTGAAGGACATGTGCAGCACACCTTGAGTCTCCGCCGGAATCTCCTGTGCAAATTCCAGCGTGGCCGTCTCATTCTCCGCCGAATAAACGACCCTCTCAGGTTTCAGCTTGCTGCACTCATAGTGAAGCTCGACCGAGTCAATAACAATGTCCAGGGCATTTAGGGTTATCTGAGTAGTGGGCTCCTTGACCTGCAAGATAATCAGTCAATGTCAGTATCCGTTAGGTGAGCAACCCGAAACCTAAAACCGAAAACCAGTAAGCAGAAACAGTTAGCAATGTCCGAGAAGAATGGCCAGAATTCACAAACAGTTACTTCAAGGTCGTAGAAATGCGGCTTTCTTGGCTTTGTTGTGGGTTTCCGGCTTAAGTCAGGCAACCAAAGCGATCGAAAACGAGTTTTTGGCGAAATTTATACACTGTCCAATAGAGGATCCCACCGATTTAAACTTTATTTCTTAAATAAACAGATGGTAATGTAATTCTTTTACTCGTCTTATCAGATTAATCAAGTCTTTTCTAAAGTCAGCTTAAAAAGCATTAAAAATTTGCATAAACCTGCAGTTTAAACAAGTTTTTCTGTTTAATATGAATAAACATGTTAAGGCTTTTATAAAATAAATTATTCAAGTATTTATTTATATGAAGAATATTTTTAAAACTTGATCAAAATTATTTTTTTTTTATTTTTTATATGGTTTTATAAAATTCTTTCTTTAAAACGACTACAAAGCTAAACCCTTCTTGAAATATTTCAATTGAAAATAAAGTTTACATTCCGATTTAGAATTAAACAATATGGATTATTGCTATAGAGTATTAAAAGTGCGGCTAAAGCGCATTTAATCATTTCTGCCGTTGACGCAAACAAGACGTAAACAAAATCCACCGTTATGAGCGGCGTTTGCAAAAAGAGATTGTCTCGAATAAATTTTGCGCGGTACCCTCGAGTGCCAGAGCCAATTCGCCAGTCATTCCTAGTGCCGACAAAGAAATCGCACTTCCTAGTGGGTGTACTTATATCTATATCTGTTCATCAATCCGAGTGTTTGCTTGCATGCAAATTGCAGCATAAAGAGAAATGTTAACAAGGAGAATGTCCAATCTTAAATATTTTTGCACACGTCAGAGGAAAAAGTTCACACAATAAGGCGAAGAAAATAACAACAATGCGGGGAAAGTGAAAGTGGCTTGAGACGAGAGAAATGGAAAGAGATGGAGCGTACAGTCCCAACTCCCTAGCTCAAACTATCCAATACTGCCTAAATACTTTGACTTGAATTTAAAAGAAATTAGATATAAATCCAGATTTTTAAAGATTATTATGGCTTTACATACAAAGAAAGTAAACCCCTGTAGTTAATACAAGTATAGAATTTTATAAAAATAAAACCATATTTCTGAAATAGTTTAAAATTACTATATCTCGGTATAAACGTATATGTTAAATAAAACAACGAACTTATATTTCTTCCTATGGAAGCCATATGTTATATAAAACTTTTCGGAAAGCTTCATTCAGTTAATTTTGCTTAAAATCCGGCAGATGGACGGACGGATAATGTGTTTTCAAGTTATCATTTTTGCTAAATTCTGCATACAGATCTCAGATAATATTTTTCAGTCTTTTTTTTACAAATATATATGTTCAGAATGCCTTACTGAAGAGGAAGTGTCTACGGCTTAACACAAGTACCTTTTAGTGATGCTGGACTGTACTCACATTGACTTGCACGATGGTCTTTCCCTTAAATGTGAACTCCTGGAGATTTGGTTGCAGCAGGAGTTCGTAATGTTTCGGCACCACATTGGTGGGCAGCCTCTCGAACTTCGCCTTCTGGGCCATTTTGCGCTCCTGCTCCAGTTGCTCCTCCTTGCTCAGTAGCTGCGATTGCTGGTGTGCCCGTCGCGCTTGCTGATAGTTGCACCCGGGATGGTGGATATCCTGACCGGAAACTACGTCCGCCGACGTATGAGATAAGATGGCACGGTACTGGCTGCACAGATCGCCTAGTAATGGGGCGTCACTACTCTTCAGGGGAGCTCCAAGCGACACACAGGAGTAATCCCTGTAGAACTGCTTCTGCACCTTCACAAACTGCTTGGACGAGATTAGCGCGTTGAGGTGGCCGCTTTCTGCTCGGAAATGGGTGTTAGTTGTGGTCTTATCTGCTGCTCTTTTTGGGGGAGACTGAACCAGAGTGTTAACTGGAGTCCGATAATGGTTAGCAACGATACTGCAGTCGTGTTGGGAGGAGCTCTTGTTATCGCCAGGCGTTTTTAGTAGTAACAAAGGTTTCTGGGTGGCGGGTAAATAGCAACTCTGGATATATCTGGCAGCTGAAAGAGGGAAAATCGTGTTAGCACTGGGATATAGCAAATAGCACAAATAAAATTCAAGCGTGAATTGCACTGATAAGCGTTGTTATTTGATTAGCTGGCGTTTTTCGGGGGCGGGGTTGGGGGGCAGAGAAAACCAAACCTTCGCACAAATGCTGCTCGAAATCGGAATTTGCCTTGGCTAGGTCCAAATTGAGTTTGCCGAGTTCTGCAATTATAATATCTCTAACAATTACCAAGTCCGATTTAGTTTATCAGAGGAAAAAGTCACAATATGCGGCGGCAAACAACACGCTTCGAGTGGCCCACTTGCAAGATGGAACGAATGGGAGTGGGACGGCATACCGCCGATCAGCTGTTCGGTCACCCACGCAACTCCCTAAATGCCACTGTTCACTAAAACCATTGTATAATCACCGTTTTTTAACTTCCAAGCCTGCCTGGCCGTGCGTATACCACCTTTCAGTGCATTTTTGTACATGACTTTGACCAGCAAAACTAAAAATTAATTAACAAACACAAGCAACGCAACTCTGCGACAGATTGGAGTATTGAAAGGCGAGCACTTACCAACACTGGCTGCTCTCCCAACCGTTATTTTTGATTTTGCAATTAGTTTAAAAATTTTAATTTAATTTTGAGAATAGTTGTTTATTGATTTGAGTTACATTCAACAGTAGATTTGTCAAATGATTTTTAGTACAAATGCGATGTGTTTCGATCTTATTTCATTCATTATCATTTTGTTTTATTGTAAAATTTCAAAATTATAGTAATTTGTTTTCTCATTTTTAAGCAATAGTTTCTATGCATTTATAACTTAAAGAAAAATTGATTCTGTTACTATGTATTCAATTTTTTTGGCGACATTTTTAAGTTTCTAAGACAAAATTAAGAACTTAAACTTTTCAAGGGAATAAGCCAAACAAATATTCAATATCTGTGTTTTAATATAGTTTTATACATTGTTTCTTAAGTTAGCTATCGACTTTTCATTTAATAAAAAGATTTTATTTAGTTTGGCTGATTTTCATTTGCCCGGCCTTTTTGCTGTATGCCGGAGGTACCCGTTTAGTAGGGTAGTTGTTCAGTTATGTAAAAATACCACGCAAAAGCGTTGGAAGTGTTGGATTTTTCGTTAAAAGGACGCAGTTAGGTTTTAAATACTTGTTGGGATGGTGCATTATAATATCAAGTGCAATTAGGTTTATGTTGTCGGATCGATCGGTCGTTACCGGGTTTCGCGGCGCGTTCTTTTAAACCCTTCCGAAAGTCCGTAAAAACAGCGCGCTGTTTCTAGTCTCCTTCCCCGCGCTTCCAATCCGCTGGCTACGCAACGGCATCTGCACAGCCCAATTCCACAACCTAACCATAAAGCCAGGCGGTTGTGCAATCGTGTATATAATCCACCTAAATAATGATCCAAGTCCGAATTGGGATGATGTTTGTGCCAGCTTTAATTCTCGCCACCTTCCTGCTAATCCCTGTCCATGGAACACCACTGGAGTGGGGTAAGCACACCGCTTTCCAATGGGTGGAAAAGAACAGTTAGGGGGAGATACTGCTCCTCTGGCAACCCTGGTGCCTAACCTTCATTTTTGCCGTTGGATGGACAATTAGAAATCAATTCGACATAAACAATGCAGCCAAAGGGTCTTATGTAACCGCTTGACATTAGCCGTAGCATATTACACACGCAAGTGTGCGTGCCTGCTATCAGCTGACTATCGGAGTTGCCCCGCTCCAAACGCTTTTTTATCTCCTTTATCAGTGGCAAAGGCGCGGTGTGCTATCAATGCACACGTTGCTGATAACTGATAGCTAATAGCAAAATTTTAATGTATGATAATCATTATTATTAGGCCTTTTATTGTTGTTGCGCTTTCCCTTTGAAAAGGTTACTGCACGCTCTCTTTCTCTTTCTCTTGCACACTCTATTTTTCACTAAACGTGGCCGGCCAAAACAACTGTTAAATACTTAACTTCCAACTCCCCAAACTGGAAAATCCGATGGCCCCTAGACGAGGGTTAAAATTTGAATTTTAAATTGGGTGAAGCTCCATGAAAAGGGAAATTCTCTGGTAAAAAATCTTCATTTTCTGAGGATTAGTACTTCATGAGCGTGGAGTTGGACTGTATTCGGCATTTGCCACCACTCTGGCCGCCATGTGACTGATTTACTTTGTCACGTATGCCACAATTTCGCCGGTTTGTTTAGATTCGGTGATTGTTGTTGCGATTTCTAAAATGTATTTTTTTCTTGGGTTTTCTGAGTCTCCTATTTCCCAAGAAGTGGATACCCAAAGTGCTGGCTGGCACTTTTCTGTATAAAATTACACCGACTGACGACAGTCTCGGAATTTCTGTATCGCAATCCGAAGCAAAAGATCCATTTAATTCCCTTCTAATCGGCCAAGCACAGATTGCTTGTGCAAATAAACCCAGAAACATATTGAATGAGCACGGGGTAGCCATCTGGAAACCCGATCTGGGCTTAGTAAATAATATTGATCTTTAACGAGATCGCTCCACGTGCGACTAGGGAACTTTCCCGAGGCATTCCATTAACACTTGTTCGCTTCATTACAAGATAACGCTAATGGTGGAAATCGTGATAGGAGCGTGCGAAAATCCATATCATACTGCTATTCTGAGAGATATCGCCTATTTCATGAGTTATATTGGGAAAGTCATAAGAATTATTGACCGTTGGTCAATCGAGCATTTTAAGTGGTCACTTATTAATCTCAATCACTTCACATGCAGTCTAATAATACCGTAAAAGATCCAGCTCCTGTAAATCCAATAGTTTAATGGGACTCTGCGTGAAAAAAATGTATGGTTAGTTAAGAGTTATCTTTTTATTATTCTTTTAAAAGTGTCTGAATACAAAATATCAAAAATACGAGGTCTTAGTAATTATGTTGTTAACTTAATGCTTTAAGATCAGAATAAACATAGTATAGAGAAAACTATTAATGGATCAGTTTTTTAGGACTCCCTAGCACTTCTTAGCCAGTAACTTAATCGACACCAAAGCTCCAGCAATAAACTCGCCATTACGTAGGTTTTATTGTAGATTGCCAATTTAGCATTTTCTGCATCGATAAAAACGTTGACCTCAAACCAGAAGCGTGGAGGTCGACGCGAAGCGATGGAAAGGTTCGTTCACAACTGCGTTTTGAGTGGTAAATGCGGCTTAACTTGGTTAGACTTTGTTTTTTGCAGCCCATTTTTACAACCATCGATAATTGCCCAGTGCTAAGATACATTTGTATGAATCATGAATAACCAATAACTATAGGCTATCAAAAACCACTTAATGGTAATAATGAAAATTTTGAAAACTCGGATTTTCTGAAACTCCGACAAGATTGAGTGGCAATACCCATTAGAAACTAAACTCAATACCAAGTTAACTTGGAGTTAAACAAGTTTGTCAAATATCTAGGTATCTGTTTTCGTTTTTTGCAGTTTGTTGTGGTCATTTGGTCTTTTCCACGGCGACAGTGACCTAGAAAGGTTTTTTGCCCACGAGCTAGGGCCAATGACCAGGTCGCAATTGATGGATATTCGATCTGGTCGATTGGTAATGGTGTTTTATTGTATGAGAAACTGTGAAAGTGAAGCCTTGATACGCTTCCATCCGATGCGGAACTGCTGTTTATTTTGGTTTCTGTTCCGCCAGCTGGAGTTTTCCCATTTCCGTGAGAGGAGAGTGGAAAAAGCGCGTCAGGATTGTTTGCTTTATTTGTTTGCAGGCCAGCAGGTGTCGCATTTACCCACCTGCCTGGCTACTTAAACAAATGACACGCCCCCAGAACATTGACAACAGGTTTTTGATCTCGTTGGGTATATAAAAGCTGAGAGGTAAAGGGAACGAAGCCAGAATTTTGAACGGAATCACCGCCATTTGCCGCTTATCAAATCTTGTCAAAAACATTTTTGCACGCTAAACTTGGGTATGCGATGTTTATGTGTACAAATTTCAAGGTTGCTGTTGATTAGGGAGTCGATACAATACCTATACTTATATAATATTGCCAAATCGAGCAGAGAACTAAAGGTGTTTTCTGAATCCTTATTTAAATGATTACAAAGCAACGTACGTCTATTTAAAGTACAACACCATTTAAACTCTTTAAACACTAAAATCAGATACCATAAGATAGCCTTGAATAACATAATAGAAAACTCTTTAGTGATTAAAATTAATTTTCTAGGTCACAAAAGTTGACATTACGTATCAAGGGATTTCCCTGGTGCTTTCACAGGTTGACGTCTTCAGATCCTCGTCGCTTGTTGATTAATTTACAACGCCTTATCAGTTGAGACCTTAGACACATACTAAATTTTGATGATTTGGAACTATTGAGTTTTCCAACGCGGACGGCGCCGCATTAAATAATCATTTAATATAAATAAAACGCAGTTCGTGCTAAATTCATTGCTGAATGTTGTTGCAAATTCAATTCGAGTCGCAATTTCCACAAATGGTGGAGCTTGATTGGAATTCGCGACATTTTTGGCAAGTTTAATGACGATGAGCGGGGGGCTCGACAAATTAATGGACGTTTGCCATTGATTGAGCTCAATTTCCGCAAATAACGCAAGGGGTCTTGGGCGGTTTCTACTCTTATCGATTTAGTGAAGTGTTGGGATCGGACACGTTTCTAGAGGCCTTCTAGAAACTATTATTGATTTTAACAAAATGTGTTTCACAATTGTGTTTTATCATACCGGATTCGAGATAAGATAACTTGGATAAATTCGAATATCCGATTATCAATTTGGATTCGAATTACATAAAGCTCTCATAATGGTTAATGAGTCAGTGGCAGTGGATTACGTTTTATCACGTAGCTGTCATGTCAATGATCGGTCGATAAATAAGTCCCGGTCCGAAAAACTAGTTTATTTCTTTTATTAAGCCTTTTAATAAACAAAAATTGGGTTTCTATTCTGATATCATTTAATTAAATTCTTTACTCTCTAATTTTTAGACTTTGCCGTCACACTGAGGACCAAGATCCAGTTCATGGACAGTTCCTGGCAGACGATAGCCACCGCTGCCCACGAGTTCGATGAGCTGTCCGCCCTCACCTTCGACGAGTCCGAGGAGCTGATCTACTTTAATGACCTGAAGCACCAGAACGGTAGCATATTCTCGCTGAGAAGGGACCTCCTTGCCTCCTCCCACGTAGTGGAGCAGGCGATTGCACGCACGGGAAATGAATCTGTGGGAGGATTAGCCTACGATCCGCTGAATATGAACCTCTTCTGGTCGGACACCCAGCAAAGGAAGATATTTTTCGCGTCTATCCACGGTTCTGGACCGCCAAAGGTCCTGGTGGACCTCAGCGCAGAGGGGGGACGACCAGATGGCGTGGCCGTAGATGTGTGCCGCCGGAAACTGTATTGGACCAACTCGAACATCACGCATCCCACCGTGGAACGGATCGATCTAGATGGCAACAACAGAACCGTGATCGTCGATTCCGCTATCTTCATGCCGAGGGGAATCGTGGTGGACCAGCTGTCCGATCGGCTCTTCTGGATCGACGACCTTGAGGGTGTGTTTTTTTCGGTGGAAAGCTCCATGTTAGACGGCACTGATCGCCAGGTGGTGCTGAAGGACAAGCACCACGAACCCTTGAACCTGGCTGTGTCAAATAATGCCATTTACTGGACAGACCGGACCACAAGGGCGGTTTGGAGTCACCCAAAAGTTCCAGCTATTAAGGTCACCACTGCAGATCCCACGGACTTTGATACTGACAGTGAACCGGAGCCGGCGGCGGATTGTCCCCTGGTGCGCGTAGCTAATCTAAGCGAGGAGGCTCGAGGAATCGTGGCACGAACGGGTTTCTACCAGAGACTGCAGAAGGACAATCACTGTGCTAGCATAGTGCGCAAGGTGAAGATGCGCTTGAATGAGCAGAGCAGGAAGCATGAAACACGCTCCCTGGTGGACCAAAAGATGAAAATTCTCGAAGACGATCGCTGCATGAACGGAGGCGATTACATGGCGTCCAGGGATCTATGCATATGTCCGACCGGTTTCAAGGGATCCCGATGCGAGATCAGGGAATGCCACCACTACTGTGTCCATGGCACCTGCCAGATGTCCGAGTCGGCGTACCCCGTGTGCTACTGCCAGCCAGGTTTCACAGGCGAGCGCTGCGAGGTCAGCATGTGCTCAGGACTGTGCCTCAATGGCGGCCACTGCCGAGTGTCCAAGGACGAGAAGGAACCGCCAACTGTGAGTGTGAGCTGTGAGTGCTCTTCTAAGTTTGGAGGAGCTCGCTGCGAGCAGAATTCCACGGAGATCTGCTCCCTCTTCTGCCGTCTGCTGAAGCACGAACCTAATATCTATGTGCCCTTCGGTTGCCATGACATGTAAGCCGTCTATTTACCTATATTTCCAAGGGCAGCAACTAACTATTTCTTATTTCGCTGCAGATGCGAGGAACTGGCTGAGAATAACAGCACCAACATCGCCATCCCCCAATACACGCACTTAGAAGTGTGCATCACTCCCAAAGTGTGGACCAGTAGCGTGATCATCATTCTTGTCGTCGGTATCGTGTCTAGCTTGCTACTGGTCGCTGTAATCGTCCACGGAATTCGCCGCTTGTACAAACCTAAGAGACCACGCATCAAGAAGACATTTGTGTTCCGCAAGCCGGCAAGGACCAACTCTGGCGGAGACACGCCGCTAACCAACCGCCCAAGCGAGCACTGTGAGATCACGATAGAGAACTGCTGCAACATGAACATCTGCGAAACGGTAAGGATGCCTATTTTAAGTCCAAAGAATCATTTTGAAAGACACTTATTTTTAATTACTTTGAATAACTAACTAATTTGACACTTTGCAGCCCTGTTTCGACCCCAAGCTGGTAGAGCAGTCGATGACCAAGTCCAGTTGCAAGGAGGACAAAAAGATACTCATCCACAACATGGAGGATGACCTGTACTAGGGCGCGGCGGACAGAAAACGACCAGCCCCCAAACTAAACCTTGTGATAGTCGTCGTCGTCGAGTGCGGATTGGTATTCGAGCTTGAAAAGCTGCTGCCCGCCCGGCCCTCGACCCCGTTAGCGCCAAGGTGCTCACCCAGGCAATCAGCAACTAGAAACCAATCACCAGCAATATGCAACTAGCAACATGCAACACCTGGAGCAACAGCCACTTTAAACTGATGAGCCTGGGCACTTAACACTCGCCAAACCAAACCATTTACTTAAGCCGAAGCAACATGTGTACTTAGATCCTGGGAACGTTCTTCGGTCTCGTTAATTTATTCGTAGGATCATTTCATACCAGGATTAGGATTTTTAGCTCAAAGCTCCATTTAAATTTTTACACATTTTTTTGGATTTTATTTTTTTTTTGGTTTTTATTTTGAATTTGTTCATGTTGAAATGATGAAAGCAAGTCGCACGACTGACATAAGCTTTAAAAATGGAATACGCACGGATAGCAACAGCCTGTAGATCGTAAGCGGACACAAAGACCATTGTGATTGTGAGTCATTGTTCATTTCCTGCTACCTTTAGTTGTGAAAAAAGAAACTAAAACAATAGATAATTGCCCCGTCCCACTAATATGCAAAATCTTGCCTCATCGGGTGATCCCTTTCCTCTCCTCACCCCAATCGTGCTCTTAAGAAACGTCAGAGAAAATTACCCAACAACAGTGGGGAATAACTCCCAGAAAGATCGAGAGTTGTACATATTAATGCATAGTTTAATTTTAGTCGTAGTCCTTAAGAAAAGGGTTGAATAAAGAAAAACTACATGCAGTTGTAAACGTTAATGAGTGCCTTTTTGCATTTCACCAGTTCCTCAAGAGACACACACATAATTGCTGGTATTAATCACTTTACAGAAGGTCACGTTCTTAAAAATATAAACAGAGCCAATAGCGAATGACATTAATCCATTCAAAACAGTGGGGAATAACTCCCAGAAAGATCGAGAGTTGTACATATTAATGCATAGTTTAATTTTAGTCGTAGTCCTTAAGAAAAGGGTTGAATAAAGAAAACTACATGCAGTTGTAAACGTAAATGAGTGCTTACTTGCATTTCACCAGTTCCTCAAGAGACACACACATAATTACTGGTATTAATCACTTTACAGAACGTCACGTTCTTAAAAATATAAATAGAGACAATAGCGAATGACACTAATCCATTTCTTTGGCTGGAGTTTTTAACTTTTTCCGATATTTCGATTCGCTTTCACATAAACAATCAATAATTGCCAATTTGTATTATTTTTATATTAAGTTACTTTTATTTTACACCTGACGTTATACGGGTTGCGATCGCTTTTTGAAAAACTTTGAGATTGAAAAAAGTGTTGCAGCGTCCCGATAAATTAAATATACTACAAATCAGTAGATATATTGGGGGTAATCCATTTCTTAAAGGTGTAATGGCAGCGTTTTAAAATTAAAATTGCCATACTATCAAACCGTTGGAAAAATAATATCATTTTTATAATACATGTTTAAAAACAGCTTATAATATGGAAAACTGAGTAAATTTAAACACGATTTTTAGCGTTGCCAGAAGTTTACCCACAATCGATAGGCGCATCATAATCGACCAAAGTACCACCACTATTTCGTATCCATCTTGACAAATTTTTCGCAAAAGAAATCGAAGTTAACAAATAACAGCGTTTTGGATAACAAATCGCCACTGGAATATCTAGAAAACAGCGAGAATGGTTGGTATTATTGAAAGCTGATACAATTGCTACGAAGGACAGGGTTTTCGACTTGTTTCCGACATCGCGTGTTTTCAAGAGCCTGTGAAATTTGCGCATTTTTTCGGTGCCCGAACGGTGGCGTTGCAGTAAGCGGTTTAGGGGCAGTGCGTAAAAAGGGTGAGGGGAAGAGTCAGCGGAGCACCCGGTGACCTTGCCTCCATTTGGGACTACGACGTCACAGTCCCGGACCCCTGCGATGTGTGTATCTATTCGAATAAACACCACGCGCTCGCACCTCCGATTTTGACAATAGAAAAGTACAGCCCTTTGGTTCAACACACGGAGTTTACCTGAGACAGGCATTGTGAAGCACCCTTGTTTAAGATACAACTATAACATATGGTTATTGTTATCTATTTTGTCGGCAATATTTGCTAAAACCTTCATTACATATGTGTAACAAATTAACATGTACTGAAAATTGTCTAAGAAAGCAGAATAGTATTGTGATTGTATAATATCCAGTTTCTCCGTAAAGCCAAAATATATAATATAGTTTCAGTTTTATACTTGCAATGTATTACACCAGACTACACCACTGGGTAGCCAATTTTCCCTTTGTTAAGATGAATTTTCTTAAACATTTCATTCAGTTTCGCTGTGAACAAATAATAAGCAATCTTCAGTTCAATTGATATTTAGTTTTTACTAAACTGGGATAGAGTTTATTATATGCGACGCTATAATTATCTTTGTGTAAAAAAAACAAATGCACATGCTTCAATACAGTCAAAACAAATAAACTGATGAATAAATCTTTTGCTGCTGTACAGATTTATTCATCCTTTTACTTGTTTGGACTGAAATGAATATAATAAAATGTTTGCAAAGATAATTAATTTAACATTGTTTAATTATTTAAACTTTTAAGTAGATAAAACTCCTATCAAAAACCCAAATACTATTTCCTAAGGGTCAGAGGTTTCCGTATGCATTGAAAACGGCCACTATTAACTTACTAATCATACTTAAAGACAATTAAAATTAACTCCTTAATTCTTTTACAGGGCAGCAACGATAGAGCATCGAGATCGCCGCGTTCGGATGATCAGCGCGAGATCAGCGATATGCCGGCCACCAAAAGATCGCGCTCCGACTCGGGTGAGTTTCCCAGCTGTCCGTCTATAAATAACTATGTATGATGGAATGATAACCGTGGCGATCAGTACATCGCTCCCAAAAACATTTTGTGTATGTCTGAAAATAAGCTTGGCACATAGGTTAATCAACAAATCAACGGAATCCACGAGGAGCCGGCAAAATTGTATTGTATTTTTTGGTTGTCCAAGCATAAAACATAAGCACATCTTATATTTTCTCTCCTACTTGTACTTGTACTCTACTCTACTCCGTTGCATCTAAGGGCAGCACTGACGCCACTAAATAATCGGTTTTTCTTTTTGTTCTGCTTAAGTAATTGCAGACTTCATAAACGCACGATGAACTCTAACTCAGACTGTGAGGTGTGAGGTGAGGTGAGAGTCAAACAAATCGATTTGAGAGTCAGTCTATCGCCAAAGTCGAAAAAGGCGCGATCCCCAGTCGATAAACCAAACCAAACATATATGCTAAATAACGAAAGCGAAAGCGCAATGAAATGCGTATGCGTATTGTTGTTAAATCTAGGGCATAAGTGAGTCCCGAAACGAACCGAAACGAGTCGACGAATCGCCAGAACTAATCCAAAATGCATATATAACTATTATCTCTCTCTTTCTCTTTCTTCTATATCTCTCTTTTTTAGTTCTCGTAAGCGTTTTTCTACCTTTTAAGTTTGTTCCGCCTAAGACTAAGTTTTATCGAGATCGAAATCGAGGTCGGGTATTCGAGATCGAGAGAGAGATGACCAATTAGATAACTCCACTACTACTCTACTACTACCAATCTACTACTACTACCAATCAGCCACAAAACAGCCCAACCAGAACATCGACATTAATCCGCTTCTAACCACCTCGCCACCACGTCGTCGTGTGCCGCCAGCCGGGGACTGATCTGGGTCCTGATCCTGTTTGTGATTCTGATTCTGGCTCCGGTCCTTGCATTTACATTAAGTACCAATGATTTTGTGTTTTGCCTTAGCTAGTTCAGATCAACCGTCCGTCCTGTGCTATCTGTGTGATAAATGGGGTACTAAAAACTCACTTAATCCGTCGTTAATCGCCCGATCTGCCCGATCACCATCCGCAACTAGTTATCATTAACTTTTGGCCCGCGGGTCGAGCTCTCTGCGAGCTTCGTCTTCAAAAAAAAACATTAATCGAGGGTAGATAACAGCTTTATATAGGTAGGGCGGTGGAGAACCTAACCAACTTAAACATATTGTTGCTCTTATTATCGTTTCAGCGTCTTGTTTTCTTTTTTTTATTTTTCTCTTTTTATCACTGAGCAATGTAAAATGTGTGTGACCCTTCTTCAAGTCAGTTACCACGCCCCAACTCATGGAAATCGAATACGATACGAAAACCGCACCTAAGGTTGCTTATAATTTCTAATTTTTATAAACTACTCGCCAGAGCTGAGCACACACGAGGATATCGGCAAATCCCCAAGGCCCAGCTCGTGTTTTTTTCTGGAGGGGATTCCCCGGATATCCTGTTGTGTGCACAGTTCGCAATATCGCCCACAACCGGATGTGTGTCGGCAGATGAATTTTGATTTGATACGCATTACACATAACTCGAAACATTATCTCCTATTTATATATATATATATATACATATATAATATCCACACTTGCATTACATACACTACGTATCAATCAATTGCCTATCGATAAGCGAATATGTTTTATTTGACGGGAGCTTTCTCTTTTTATTCTTGCATTTTCCAGCCTTGACAAATAAATGACAAAAACTCAAGCCCCTCTGCATAAATGATAGACTCATAGACTCTCATCCAACGCAAAACAAACGAAAAGCGAAACCATTAACCTTAAGTATTATCCAATAATCCATAATCGTGACAATAATACCGATTCCCCATCGATAGACGTGCTATTGTGGCGCGCGAGTCAAAATCCAATCGAGGAGCCACCGGCGGCAGCCTCTATATGATTAACAATTTGTTTTCTTATTTTTTCTTTTTTGTCTTCATCTTTCTTGCAGGCTGCAGGCAGTTTTTGTCTTTATTTAAGCGGTTTCAAACGCAATCTCTTGACCAATTTGTCCCACTTTTGCCTTCGGAAATGACAGAACAAACCAAAAAAAAAAAAGAAAGAAAATCGAACAAGTCAAATGAAAAGTCGAATCCCAAACAAATTGCATAGCTGATGATCAACTGAACTGAACTCCCTCCCCAGTATGAGATGCACTAATCCCTCTTCCCAATTCTAGGCAAGTCCACGGATTCGAAAATTCCCTACCTTTCGCAGCCCCTGTATGACCTCAAGCAGACGGGCGATGTCAAATTCGGTCCGGGCACCCGATCGGCGCTCCTCGGTCTCCTGGGCGGCGCCCTACCCAAGCTATCCTCAGAGCAGCACGACCTGGTCAGCAAGGCGAAGAAATACGCCATGGAGCAGAGCATCAAGATGGTGCTTATGAAGCAAACGCTGGCCCACCAGCAGCAGCAACTAGCCACTCAGCGAACTCAGGTTCAGAGACAACAGGCACTGGCCCTTATGTGCAGGTGAGCTAAGGTGTTCCAGGAATAAGGGATAATTCTGTTTTATTGGGATTATGATGCAAACTCTTTGAATGTCTGGCGAAGATTGGTTCTCACGTCTGTAGCTCCGCGTTACTGGAGGCAGTCGAGGTGGAACCAATCACTGTGCGCTCTTAGCTGATAAGATCTGACTCCAACCCCAAGAATTTCCTTTTACGTTTACTAATTAAAAGATTAGAGACTAATTAACTTTTTCTTTTAGAGTCTACGTGGGCAGCATTTCGTTTGAGCTCAAGGAGGATACCATTCGCGTGGCCTTCACACCCTTTGGTCCCATCAAATCAATCAACATGTCCTGGGATCCCATCACCCAGAAGCACAAGGGATTCGCCTTCGTAGAGTACGAGATACCCGAGGGCGCCCAGTTGGCAC